CCACTCCCTTGTAATTCTTCTCAGAGTTCGTCCGAACTTAATCCTAGAATTGATTTAGGATTCTTGTCAGAGCTCCGTTGAATTTTTCTTCGAGTTCTTAAATTTTTAAAATTCTATAAAAAATCTTATCAGAACCCTGAACATTTTTCCAAGACCACACAATTTTCCAGCGACCGTATTTTTCCAAATCTGGAATCTAAATAGGGGAAATGACGGCTTCGGCATGACAGACTATTTTCGGCAACACAAATTGAAACACTATTTTCACTGGATTTTCTTACGAAAACACTTCGCTGAATGCATGCAAACGATTCTTTATGCTTTTAGCTTCAATTTGACTATATTGTTACCACTGAGAAAAAGCAATCTAGCAAGGTTTTCTCGAAATGAAACACACGCACTACAAATTGTAGCTGATTTCGAGTTGCCGATAATAGAACAGCAGATTTACATGCAGTTGAAATAGAACGGTTGCCGAAGAAAAACTGGTTGCCGACAATACTCGCTCTCACTAGAGAAGATTGGAGCTTTGTAAAAGCGTTTCAAAACAGTTTTTGACAATTCTTTCGACTGAAATTGTTAGAGCAGCTGGCAGCAAAAGATTGTAAACAAACCAATACTGCATATGTGTGCGTTCCTTAGAGAAAAAGGCTATAGAAAGAAGGTCGCTGCTTAGGTTGCCGAGAATACGTAAATTCCCCTATCTAAATATTAAAAACCAGGAATATCTAGAAAAAATTTCAAAATCTCATATTTTGACTATTTTTCTCAGTTTCATATTGTTGGAAAAAATCCAATCCTGTTTTTTTCTAAATCTAGGATAGGTAGCTTTGCATATTCTGACGCTTTACAATCATAAGAGGACTCGAATCTAAAAAAAAATATTCAAATTGATTCTGAGTTATTTTTACTAAATATTAAAAACCAGGAATATTTTGAAATTTGAACCGGGAATTTTAAAATGAAAATTCACTGGCCACCCTGAACTGTTTACTCTTATAGGAAAACCCTGGAAGGGACACCCATACTAACGGCGCCGGTGGTGTAGTGGTAAGCGTGATTACCTCTCACCCCAGCAGGCCTGGGTTCAATCCCAGATGGCGCCGCCGGGATGTTCTGAGGCATAACATCTCTGATTACGCCTTCCTTCGGATGGGAAGTAAAGCCGTTGGTCCCCGGTTCATGAGTTGATGGGTCGATAGGTAGGGTCCAGGTGTGGGAGCTGCCTTCCTGGCACGTCGGTAGCATTGGTGCTCAGCACGGAAAACAAGATCGACGGAAAAAACAAACCAAAGGGGACACCCATACTCGAAACATATAAACGTCAACACGAGTAAGGAACTGTCATTGGGAGCCAAGCAGTTTGACGATGCTTTTCTTACAATTGAACAAGAATACAGAAGGCGGTATTGAAATCTTGCGAAAAGTAATTTCTGACAAACTGTCGTTTCTAGCTATCTTATTCAATGGGACTCCGTTTTTTAGATTCATTCATTGAATATGCCATATGTATACTTAAATCCATATTGAAAGATACCATTAACCAAGGTTTTGTCAAAATCTTTGGTGGCGTGATAAAATACAAAACAGAAAAGTACATTTTCTCACTGCACACTGAACAACGTCAAACAAGCACTCACGCTCAAAGTAAAATCGGTAATATTACTACGCCTATTTTGATTTGATTTCAATAGCTCGAATTTTCATGACATTAAGAAAAGCTATAAAATGAATGCCGTGTGTGCTATATGTGCCTCCCTCCCAGGGAAAACCCATAAGCAAATGTCGATTTTTGTGAATTCCTTTCACTCTCCTGAAAAATCCCGTAGGCAAAATGTTAATCTTTGCGTGAAAGGACGGGCCGACACGGTACGCAAGCTATTTCTGGACAACCCAAATTTGAGTAGAATCTACTCACATCCGTCAAAAGTAGGGTACCCTAAATTGAGTAAACAAAGTTGGGACTGACAAGATGACAAATGGAAAACATCGACCTGAATCCGAACGATGTTTGCTCAATTTAGGGTAGCCCTACTTTTGACGGAATTTGAGTAGATCATACTCAAATTTGAGTTGTTTAGAAATAGCGTGCAGTCAATCCTGCAAACTTCATGGCAAATTAAACGGACTCAAACTCGCAAAATCGTAGGTCACTCGTAGAATGAGTATATGGTTATCAAATATGAGTAAATGTCACTCATTTTTCAGTGACATTTACTCATATTTGAGTAAAATTTTATTAATTCTATGAGTGACCTACGTTTTTTTTTTCGAATTAGAGTGACTTTACCATACCAATAAGGCTAAGGCCTTGTTGTCCTCTGCTATCCGAAGAAGTCGTCTCCACTCTACTCGATCTATGGCCACACTTTGCCAGCCTAGTAGTCTGCGAAGGGTCCGCATATCGCCTTCACTTGGTCGCGCCTCTTCTTCTTGTTCCTGTTGGTTCGCTTTCGAGAATCATTTTCACTCGGTCGTCGTGCGGCATTCTTCCGACGTGCCCAGCCCACCGTAAATGCCCAATTTTTGCAATGTGAACGACGAATGATTCTCCCAGCAGCAGATGAAATTCGTGGTGCATTCGCCTCCTCACACCTTCCGTTCGAAAACACCAACGAGTATAGTCCAGGTCTTGTAGCCATAAAGGACCACCGGTCTAATCAGAGTTTTGTAGATAGTCAACTTCGTGCGACGGCGAATTTTAGTCGACTGGAGCGTCCTCGGGATTCCAAAGTAAGCACGATTCCCTGCCATGAAGCGTCTTTGAATTTCTCTGCTGGTATCATTTTTGGCGAACACCAGTGAGCCCAAATATACGAACTCATTGACCACCTCGATTTCGTCACCGTCAATCCTAACTCGGGGTGGAAGGCTAACATTGTCTTCATTAGAACCTCTTCCTTTCATGTATTTTGTCTTTGATGCGTTGATGGCAAGTCCAATCTGCCTAGCTTCAGCCTTCAGTCTGATGTACGTTTCCGCAATCATCTCAAAGTTCCGTGCCATGATGTCTATGTCATCGGCGAAACCAAGTAGCTGAATGGACTTCCTGAAGATCGTGCCACTCGTGTCTATCCCAGCTCTTCTGATCACACGATCTAAAGTGATGTTGAATAGCAGTCACGAAAGTCCATCACCTTGCCATAACCCCCTTCGAGATTCAAAGGGACTCGAGAGTGTCCCGGATACTCTAACAACACACATCACTCGATCCATTGTCGCCTTGACCAATCGCGGCACAAATCCGGAAATCCGTACTCGTGCATAATCTGCCATAGCTGATCTCAATCGATTGAATACGACGGATTTGGAATCGATGAACAAATGATGGGGCACGTTGTATTCGCGGCATTTTCGCAGAACCTGCCGATTCGCGAAAATTTGGTCCATGAATCCCGCGTGATATTGCCCCTCGAACTCTCTTGCAATTGGTGGTAGGAGCACACCTTTCCGATGAAATCCTCAATCAACCTCTTGGAATGTTTCCCGAAGTCCTTTGGTATTCTCCTTAGATGTCTTTTGGAATCTTCCTCGTGATTTACAAGCAACAATCCTCCGAATTAGAATTCGCCTTATTATTATCAGAATTCTTTTGTAACTCTTTTCTGGATTGTTTTTTTTTTCAGGATTCCTTTGTAATACTCATCAGGTCGAATTTGTTAGAAAAAATTGTTGCCGTATTTTCCCCAAACTCCGAAATATATATTTTTTAATTCTGTTGAATTCTTCTCAACATTCCCATGACACTATCCTTAGATGTTGTGAGTTTCAGCTTCCATGAAATTCAAGAGAGAGACAATCACGCTTACCACTAAACCTCCGGCACCGCTTGACGCTTTCTTCACAAAGTCTTTGAATTTCTTTTCAAAATGACTTTCTAGTCTGAATGGAATTGTTCAAGAATACTTTCCAAAATTCCATAGGAATTCTCTTTGGAATAACATTTGAATTATATTTGTATTCTGTTAGTTCATCCAGGTTGCAGACAGATCTAAAGTTACCCACTTAAGAAAACTCCTAATGTCTTAATGAAACTTTGGAAATCTTTCGAGATTTCTAACATTAGTTTAGAGCTCAGAAAATGTGTTGCAGTTTTATGACAAAAATACTATTCATGATTCATGAACTAATATATGGTTTCAAGATACAAACATGCATTTTATTATTGATGTAATGAATGTTGTGGAAAGTCGGTATATAAAAACTCTTTTAATTCGAACCTTTAACTGGTCACCCCTGGCTGATGTCACCCTCTCACTAGGACACTGAATAAGGCCCGAACTTTACTTAGAATCTGGCAACATGGCCCGATTTCTCAGCAAGTAGTGTTAATGGCAATTTTCAGTCCATTTTAGTACAAGATACGTGCCTTCTTGCGGAACCGTTTACAATTTTACCTTAGAGAAACTTTTATCTTAGGGTTACTCATTTTATAAACGATCATCCGGCTTGTTAATTAAACCCTCATTCCTCGAAGAACAACGACCGCTACAAACCGGTGCCGGTACCTGTCACACAAATGATAACACGTTCAATTGAAACCTGCGAATCGCATCAACGACACAAATCCCTATCACGATCACTATCGTCAACCCCACTGCTGCAACTAGCAGCGATAACTCGCAAAGCAGCTCTAATGAATCCCTCCCCATCCAGTACCGTAGCGTATCGCCGGTGGGGACAATTTCCAATCAACATAATCAGCTATTTCCTTACACTGCCGCGTTGCAACAGCTGAACCAGGAACGGAAAAGTTAGTTCACATGCTTCGTCACATTTCTGGGGAAAGTGACTTAAAATTGAAACTGTTTAGCAACTGCAGAAAGTTTGCCTCATAAATTACAATTTTCAAATATTGTGCCCAACCATTCTCCACAAACGACAGGCCCAATTATTCACATTATTCACAGTGTATACCTACCTATATGTTCTGTTTCCCATGGCAAAATAATTAAATTTCCCTTTTCTTCTCCGCGTTTCTCTTTCGTTCGAATCCACAGGTTGCGAAAATGCGGCTCCCTCGCTGGGTGAACTAAAAGACTGGGGACTCTTCTCACTCACCTGCTGCAGCCCGCCGCCGCCGCCGCCGCAATACGACAGTGCCTCCCAGTAGCGGTGTCGTCCTGATTAGAGCTTTATAGCTTGATTTAGTGCCGAGAAGAGCAGCAGCAGCAGTAGCCAAATCCAAACACCCAGAATGCCTCTGCCGAAACGACTCGTCCAGCCGGTGTACGTCGCCCGGTCGGTGTACGTGCGGGAGGAACTTCCGGCCGAGCTTGAAACCGTAACCAACACCACCCTCACCAACATCGTTCGGCAGCTGTCGTCGCTGTCCAAACACGCCGAGGATCTATTTGGCGAGCTAACACGAGACGCCGGCAATCTAGCCGAGCGGGCTAATTCGCTTCAGGCACGAATCGATAGGCTAGCAATAAAGGTGACCCAATTAGATAGCACGGTGGAGGAGGTGTCCCTGCAGGACATACAGCTGAAGAAAGCCTTCAAGAGTGCCACCGTGTTTGATCAGCAGATATTTTCGCGGGCGACGATGCCGACCGCCATGCTGGAGGTATACCAGGTAAGCTCTTGTGTGGAATTGCGTTTGTTTGCGCCCATTAACATACGTCTTCTTACTGCTTTCAGGCCTGCGACAAACCACCTCCACTTGATAAACTGAACTGCTATCGAGACGACGGTAAGGATGGCCTGAAATTCTATACCGACCCGAACTACTTCTTCGAGCTGTGGCGACAGGAGATGTTGAAGGATACCGAACGGGTGATGCACGACCGTGGCAAGAAGGTGCACAAACCTCGAGGCACCGATGGAGCGGACGGTGGCCGCCAGAAGAAGCGGCCGCGAGCTCCGCACAATACCCGCGAAAAACAACGCCAACGGGCGATTGGTCACGGTGAAACTCTAATGCCAAACAATGTGATCTACCGAACGCCGAGTGCGATTGCACAAGCGAACGAGGAAGCCATCTACAACCAGACCATGGGTGGCAACATTATCTACGATCCGCGAAATGCCGGACCCGCGAGACCAAATTCTATCGAACTACGACGAAGTTACCAACCCGAACCCGTAGATGGAGGCTATGCTCCTCCATCGCCACACTACCAACAGCAGCAGCAAATGGCACAGCAAAACAACTACCAGCAGCAACCAATGTACGATGATTACCCCAACCAGCAGATCTACGGTAACAACACAAGCCAAATGTCCCAGGAAAGCCTCTACGCACCGGGCACTCCTTCGCGGTCGAAATCTCGACCATCGCAACCTCCCCCGGCACCTCCATCTACCGGAAGTGGCGGAGGAACTCCCAACGTATCGAATGCCAATACTCCTACTCGGGGTCGAAGTATGTCCACCGGTAGAGACAATCTTCCTCCTCCGCCACCGATTCCAGAAGGCCTCCAGTCACCACCGCACATCCCCAACGGAGGAGCCAACGTTGCAGCTAAGCTTCTAAATCGCGCCAACTCGAGAGCAGGCTCTCCCCAGCTAGGTGCCAACGGACAACCCTTACAGCCGCCTCAAATGGGTGGCCATCAGCAGCAGCAGCAACAGCAAGGGGGCATGGTGGATCCGAACCAATTTGCGCTGGCTCAACTGAACCAGCAAATCAACAATTTGAACAACCTCAACTTGCAACTGGGTCAGCTGTCGATGAACGATTTACCACCGCCACCGCCAATACCGGAACAGGTGAGTGCCAGTTGCATTCTCAATTTTCCCTTTATACTACACGTTTGAAATGATGGGACTTTACAATACCCCTCACGTCTCAGGATAATGCGATTTTCTTCGCCACTAGCTCGGTTAGGCTTCGCTTACGCTAGAGTTAAGCATGCAAATGACAAATTTTTCGCCAAAGGGTAAGGATAAGAACTACTACTGTGTGCTCGTGGGGTGACTAATTCGTGCTATGCAACATGCTCCGTACGGTTCCGTGACTTATTTAACGTTTGTGTGTAATTCGATAAAGCTCCTTAAGGTGCGTGTGTGTATGGGGGAATGTGAAGACAAGAAAGAAAGTATTAATTTACCGTGTTTCGAATGTCTTTGTCTTACTAGTATTGTAATTGAATTACAACTTGTGGATTTGCTAATGGATACCTATCCTGCTCATAATCGCATCTTTCCTTGATCAATATGGGACTGTCATGCGATTATGGGTAGTATTTGTGGCTATAACACTTGGATTTTTTTGACATCGTACATCTTTTTTGTCTGCACTGGTCTTCAAAGTTATAAAGTTTTCTTGTTGAAAGTTTGGGGTCTTTCTGCAGTAGAAACATAATATTAAGGAAAGTGGTCAGTTTTTCCCTCGATATGACCCAAAGAGACTCGCCGAAATAAGTCTGGCGACCTTTTCTGATAATTTTCATTCAAATTAGACGGTCGATAGCATCATCTGTTCTGAAAATTTTATAAATTCAGACTGATTCGTAATTAGGGCAGGTTAATAAACAGATCAATCGCCGATTTCTCGCGGAAAAAGCTCAATGTCGCAAACCAACTATGTGTTGTTTATTTACCATTTGCAGCTGCAACAACAGCTACTGGCTTGCAATTAAATTCTAGAGAGCAAGTTAATATTTATTTCTTAATAAATAATATTGTCTACAACTAATTAGGAACTGATAAATAAATATACCTTTAAATTATCCTTAAACGTTGAAAGCATTCTGTTTTCAAACTATTTGGTAGTACGTAGAACTGAATAACATCAGAGTTAAAGGGAAGCTTACCGCAACGAGTGTTTAAATTTAAATTTTAAATTTTACCTCAGCGCGCTCAAACGTTTCCAAATTGATTCCTGATTAGCAGGGTGGTCAGCGAACCGGGAAATCCAGGAATACCGTAAAATTCTCGAAAGTAATTGCTTTAATTTATCTCCATTAGATTACAGATTTTGCTGAACTTTTTGGTTTTTAAGCATGAATTCGCATTCAGCTCCAAATGACACTTAATTGTTTTGTCGCAACAATAACAAAGGTAACTCAAATAAACCTCAATTATTGCGACACAACACAGCTGTATCGAGTCCTCCCCCCCCCCCTCCCCGATAAAGGTAACTAGGTGGCGGATAGAGCTGGGACGGCTACAATACAAGTTATGGACAGTTACCCCATCCAAGAAGAAGGTTCCGTGATCGCCAAAATAAACGGAATATTCATATGCAGTTGCTACGCACCCGATGGACGATGGAGCAGTTCCACGAGACGCTGGTTGGACTTACCGAAGAGCTGATCAGACGAAGACCGGTAGTCATCGGAGGAGACTTCAATGCTTAGGCAGTGGAGTGGGGAAACAGATGTACCAACGCAAGAGGGCACATTCTGCTGGAAGTTCTGGCGAAGCTGGAAATTAGGCTGTTCAATCAAGGCACCACCAGCACTTTTCGCAGAGATGGCCGGGAATCCATTATCTACGTCACTTTATGCGGACTGTAGTCCGTCCCTGGTGGAAAACATGAATAGGGAAAGTGTGTGAAGGATATACCCATAGTGACCATCAGACAATCCGATATGGCATCGGCCAACGGAATCCTGTGGCAGTACAGAGGACGAGAACTTGCGACCTGAAGTGGAAGACGAGTTGACAGAATAGTTAGCAGGATGGCCAGTAAACCGGGAAAACCGGGAATACCGGGAAATATCCGGGAATTTGAAAAGTAACCGGGAAAACCGGGAAAAACCCGGGAATTCAGTTAGAGAACCGAGAAAAATGAATTAACCATAATACCATAAGAACAAATTTCTACACCAGAATTTCATAATAAACCATTAAAACAGAGTGATCCCTTAAAAATGAATGTCTTGCTCTATTTGTTGTATAATTTTCTTCAGTTTTCCGTCTTATTGTTTTTAGAATTTAATCACTCAGCAATGTTGAAAACAGCAGAAATCTTTCGAAAATTTATTTAGAAACACCTTGGAGTATTTTAAAGAATTTCTTTCTAATTACCAGCAAATTTTTTGCAATCATTTTTTATGAATCTTTTGCACTAGGGTTGAAATTATTGCCAGAACACTCTTAGAACCCTGTTTTTTGTTGAATTATGATCATAATTCTCTTGAAATTCTTCTTTAAACCATCTGTCATACAAATCTCCTCAGCATCGCGTAGCGATTTTCCGCACAGTTTTGTTTTTCACAACTTTTTAAATCTTTTAAAATTACCTAACAGAACTTAGCATTCTTCTCCACAGACATCCTTCGAAATTCATCCTACAATTGCTAAAGATTTCATGTCAGAATAATTCTGGAAATCTGCTCAGAACTTCTCCATCGAAAACTGTGTGGGAATCCTTCTCAATATTTGTTTGAAATCAACACTTTAAATTTTACTAAAAATTCCAGGGTTTTCCCGCTAGATTCTATAGATTGTTATGTAATATTTTATAACCCTTAAAATGCTTTCAAGTCTCAGAGCGTGACAATTATGACTCCACGACTCATAAGCAGGGAATCAAGAAAATGCTATCTTCCGATGCTCACCGACGATAAAAATACTAGTAAACGGAATCATGATCAGTGTACAGTAAGATCATGGATTATCATTTGTGCAACACATCATGATCAGCAACAAAAACTATAATCTACTGATATGATAACAATCACTTTGTAATGTATCTCGAAATCTAAGAACTTGCTGTCTTCGGAAAAGTTGTTCTAGAGGTCAAATACACTGAAACCTCCGTTTACGAAGTCTTTTTTACGCAGTATTCAATTTACGTCCCTCTTTTTACGAAGTAAATCCCAAATAAGGAGGTTTCGTTTTACGAAGTATATCCAAATAGCGAGGTTTTTTTTACGAAGTAAATCCCAAATAACGAGTTTTCTTTTTACGAAGTAAATTCCAAATAACGAGTTATTGTTTTGCGATTATGGGAATCTCGGAAAAAAACTATGAAATATCCCACAATATGGGTATCTTTGGAATCGGAGTGAGATGTAGGAACCGGAAACCCATGTCTGACGCCATTTTGAAATCCAAGATGGCGGCATCCGGTTCATGAAAAACTGGAAGATACTTTCAATACCCCACAATATGGGTATTTTTGGAATCAGGGTAACGTGTAGGAACTAGAAATCTATGTTTGACGTCATCTTGAAATCCAAGATGGCGGCTTCTGGTTACAGAAAAACTTGGACATTCTGCCATATACAACACAAATGAGTATTTTTGGAATCGGAGTGACGTGAAGAGACCGAAAATCGATGTCTGATCCCATTTTGAAATCCAAAATGGCGACTTCCGGTTACAGAAAAACCTTGGAAATTCTGTCATATACCCCACAATATGGGTATTTTTGGAATCAGGGTGACGTGTAGGGACCGGAAATCAATATCTGACGCCATGTTGAAATCCAAGATGGCGACTTCCGATTTCAGAAAAACTTCAAAATTCTGTCAAATAGCCCACAATATGGGTATTTTTGGAATTGGAGTGACGTGTAAGAACCGGAAATTTATGTCTGACGTCATTTCGAAATCCAAGATGGCGGCTTCCAGTTACAGAAAAACTTGGAAATTCTGTCAAATACCCCACAATATGGGTATTTTTGAAATCAGAGTGACGTATAGGAACCGAAAATTGATGTCTGGCGCCATTTTGAAATCCAAGATGGTGGCTTCCGGTTACAGAAAAACTTGGAAATTCTGTCATATACCCCACAATATGTGTATTTTTGGAATTGGAGTGACGTGTAAGAACCGGAAATTTATGTCTGACGTCATTTCGAAATCCAAGATGGCGGCTTCCGGTTATAGAAAAATTGGCAAATACCACCACGTCACCCCGATTCTTAAGATACCCGTATTGTAGGTTATTTAACATTATTTTTATGTAACCGGAAGTCACCATATTTAATTTCAAAATGGCGTCATACATGGGTTTTCAGTCCTAATAAGTCACCCCGATTCCAACAAACAGTATTTCCCAGTGTTTCTGTAACCGGATGTCACCATCTTGGATTTCGAAATGGCGTCAGACATGGATTCTCGGTTCTCACAGGTTACTCAGATTCCAAAAATATCCATATTGTTGTGTATTTAACTGTATTTTTCTGTTTTCCTTTAACCGGAAGCCGGTATCTTGGATTAAAAAATGGCGTCACACATCGATTTCCGGTCCCTACACGTTACTTCGATTCCAAAAATACCCATATTGTGGGCTATTTGACAGAATTTCCAAGTTTTTCTGTAACCGGAAGTTGCCATCTTGGATTTCGAAATGGCGTCAGACATCGATATCCGGTCCCTACACGTCACTCCGATTCCAAAAATACCCATATTGTGGGCTATTTGACAGAATTTCCAAGTTTTTATGTAACCGGAAGCCACCATCTTAGATTTCAAAATGGCGTCAGATATTGATTTCTGGTCCCTGCGCATCACCCTGATTCCAAAAATACCCATATTGTGGGGGTATTTGGCAGAATTTCCAAGTTTTTCTGTAACCGGAAGCCGCCATCTTGGATTTCAAAATGGCACCAGGCATCGATTTTCGGTCCCTACGAAGTTAATCCCAATCCCATATTGTGGGGTATTTGATAGAATTTCGAAGTTTTTTGTTAGTGGAAGCCGCCATATTGGATTTCAAAATGCCGTCAGACATCGATTTCCAGTCCCTACACGTCACTCCGATTTCAAAAATACTCATATTGTGGGGTATTTGGCAGAATTTCCAAGTTTTTC